AAGTAAAGTATCTGTGAAAACAACAACAAACAAGTAAAGTATCTGTGAAAACAACAACAAGTAAAGTATCTGTGAAAACAACAACAACAAGTAAAGTATCTGTGAAAACAATAACAAGTAAAGTATCTGTGAAAACAACAACAAGTAAAGTATCTGTGAAAACAATAACAAGTAAAGTATCTGTGAAAACAACAAGAAGTAAGGTATATGTGAAAACAACAACAAGTAAAGTATCTGTGAAAACAACAACAACAAGTAAGGTATCTGTGTAAACAATAACAAGTAAAGTATCTGTGAAAACAACAACAAACTGTGAAAACAATAACAAGTAAAGTATCTGTGAAAACAACAACAAGTAAAGTATCTGTGAAAACAACAAGTAAATATCTGTGAAAACAACAACAAGTAAAGTATCTGTGAAAACAACAACAACAAGTAAAGTATCTGTGAAAACAACAAGAAGTAAGGTATATGTGAAAACAACAAGAAGTAAGGTATCTGTGTAAACAACAAGTAAAGTATCTGTGAAAACAACAACAACAAGTAAAGTATCTGTGAAAACAATAACAAGTAAAGTATCTGTGAAAACAACAAGAAGTAAAGTATCTGTGAAAACAATAACAAGTAAAGTATCTGTGAAAACAACAAGAAGTAAAGTATCTGTGAAAACAACAAGGACGATTGTAAGTTTTCGGATGATGTAGGATTATATATTAATGTTGGCAAGTCACGTGTTTCAACGTAAATCACAGTTAGGATCCTCACGATTGTAAGTTTTCGGATGATGTAGGATTATATATTAATGTTGGCAAGTCACGTGTTTCAACGTAAATCACAGTTATTCCAAAATCTGATCATTTTGAATTTTGTCATCAAGTAAACCACGTTAAATACTATCATTCTATGTAAATACGATGAAAATTAGGCAGTAAACTAATCGTGTTTTATTCACAAATAAAACAAATTATATATATATTTTTTTCACTTCTTCTGACGGCCGTATTTCCACTGACATAACTATATCACAGTTTTAGTTCAGTGAAGGTCGAATACACAAAGTATTGTTAGCTTGAGAGAAATTTTCAAAAGACATTGTTGGCTTATTATTAAGTAACACAAAAGCACTGTTGGCTTATTATTAAGTAAACAAAAGACGTTATTGGTATATTATTAAGTAACACAAAAGCACTGTTGGTTTTTTATTAAGTACACAAAAACACTGTTGGCTTATTATTAAGTAACACAAAAAGCAATGTTGGCTTATTATTAAGTACACAAAAGACATTGTTGGCTTATTATTAAATATACAAAAGACATTGTTGGTTTATTATTAAGTAACACAAAAAAGCACTGTTGGCTTATTATTAAGTACACAAAACACATTGTTGGCTTATTATTAAGTAACACAAAAGCACTGTTGGCCGAAATCACAGTACATAAGTAATTGTTGTCCTGAAACCAACTATTTGAAGCGTTTATTATAAGTCTATAATTCAGTACTTAATGTATTTTTGGCCTCAAACTGAGCATTCAAAACAATTTGGGTTTGAAACTGGATACAAAAGTATTACTGCACAGAAACCGAGTGCCTGAAATGGTCATGTTTTACGTACATGTTATCCATTTCAATACCATATGCTACCTTTTTGTCAGAAATAAAAGTACTGACACTCACTAAGTTTACACTATTTTAGTACGCGCAAATGACCTTGACAAATCGTGCCTGTCCATGTGGTAGCAACGTTACTTACGTTAGCTAGCGAGATTTCGAATGCCAGCACTTTATCCATTTCATGTTTAGCTATTTCTGGTTCAGCTCCAAGTAGAACAGCCACATCTGTCATAAATTTCAGGTATGCCTTCAGGTGCTCCGTGTTCTTGATGTAATAGTCCCGGTCTGGTAGAAGTAAGTCTGCTTGATCCAGCTTCAGTGAAACAAAAAGAAACATTAACTTCATCTGTGAAAACAACAACAAGTAAAGTATCTGTGAAAACAACAACAAGTAAAGTATCTGTGAAAACAACAACAAGTAAGGTATCTGTGAAAACAACAACAACAAGTAAAGTATCTGTGAAAACAACAAGAAGTAAAGTATCTGTGAAAACAACAAGAAGTAAGGTATCTGTGTAAACAACAAGTAAAGTATCTGTGAAAACAACAACAACAAGTAAAGTATCTGTGAAAATAACAAGTAAAGTACCTGTGAAAACAACAACAAGTAAAGTATCTGTGAAAACAATAACAAGTAAAGTATCTGTGAAAACAACAACAAGTAAAGTATCTGTGAAAACAACAACC